CCCTACCGTCCCTCTTAATGTATACGCGTATATAATAGTATTACTGCGTATGAATACGCCCGTGCAAGACGAACGGGGTACGAACGACACGACACACGTGAAACGCGAAAGATCGCCGACGGTACGTCAATGTTAGCAACGTTGAGAACTGGCGCGCACATCTCGATCCGCCGCCCCGTCCGCCCGAGCGGATTGCGAGCGAAGCCCGCGAGAGAGTCGTTTCCGATGACTTTCATCTCGTTCGACGCATAAAAGCGATTTCCTCCGAACCACCCGCCGCACGCCCGCTCACGACCGCCGCGCCGTGCCCCGAGGCGTCCGAGATCCGAAAAGAATTGCGCGCGCGTACTTTTCACGCGTTATTAGATTTGCACGCGCGCACGTGTATGTGCACACGCACGCGCGTACGTATACGAACACGAGAACTTGGCGTTATAACGCTACGGCTGAGTACGAAAAAAATCGGAATACGGGGAAAAAATAAAAAAAATTAAACTTTTTCTCCGTCCCCGTTATTCGGAATAATTTCGCTTGTTTACGCAAATTCGATTTTCCCGTTTTTATTATAAATATTATTATTATTATTAATTTTATTTTCGGTACTTCTCGTGTTCTGTGCAGGGACACAAACGTTGTTCAATACTAATATATGTGTATACTTACGCGAAACGAACGGCAGTGTAAACGTGTAGTTGGCTTGCGTGTGCGTGTTAGCACGTGTTCGGGTACGCAGTGATATTCTTCTCTTCCTGAATAATAGAACATGTGCGTTTAACAGGAATTGCGTTCTCGAACGAAAAAAATAAATATATATAACACATTCGGTAGAAAAAAAAACTTATAATTTCACAAGTTAGGTTGACCTCAACAAATAAACAACCGTCGATTCGATTTATTTTTAATAAAAGGAATGATGTTTGGCGTCCCGAACTGAAATCTATTACGGAATGTGTGATGCTCTGTAAACGATTCAATCCATACGTACTACTGTACACGGAGTAAAATAAAACTTTCATTCCGATCGATTTTATCAATCATTAACATAATTATTTCCAGTATCATTTTGACATTATTATCTAAGATAGTTTTTTAGCAAGCATAAATCATTGGTTTTGTCGGTTCGTGTGTCGTTGAAGTGATTATTTTTAAAACTTACCATACATTCTTTAATAATAGTGTTGGATATAGCTATACATTTCTGTATTAATTTAGTGTACCAGTTATTTGAAATATTGTATTATATTTTTTTCGAACACAAACATTGGTTAAACGTTGAAAAATCAGCACGTATGTGCGTATTGTGACGTAAATTATTCAAATATATACGAGCATTTCAATTTTATCAATTTTGGGTGGATTTATAATATTCAAAATGGTTTATTGAAATAATTACTTATAAGTTTTAAGTTATAAACATGCTTTAAATTTATATTAATTTTTGCTTTATTTAACTAAACCTGATCAAAAATATACATCCAAACGTGGTTTGATAAACACTTCTATTCGATATTAAATAACATTTTTTAAAAATATATGCAAATTTTATTTAAAATTTAATTTAAATATTTATTGCTTTGTGGTTGAATGCAATATTTTAATACCCATAACTTGTCTCTCGCCATTACAACTGTCTTCCAGCTTAAAAGTACGCTGGTAAGAGTTGATAAGGAATAAAATGTCGTTTAATCGAAGAACTAATTCGGATTTATAACATCATATTTCAAGTAAATGGACACATTGAAATACCATTTCCTCCTTAAAGCATACGAAAACTTGAAACGGAAAGTTGAAGTTAGACTACGGCTGATTATTTTCAGAATGTTTCGAGGCATGAAATTACAGTCTTAAGTATTTTTCCAAATATGTATGTTCATTTCTCGAAAGTTTCGTCATTAATGTCCGAAGTAGTTTTATGTAACGATATAGACTTTGTGGATTATTTATGTATGAGTTCACCAAGTTCAAAAGTATATTTTTACGTAATATTATTTTCATTAAACCATTGTCAAACGTGCGACTAAAATAATTCATGTAACATACAATTACAATCATGATTTTATTAGGTACTAATAAACCCTATAACTGTGGAATAATTAGAATTTCTGCGATAATATTTGTCCAACATCAATTACTTTTAAATAGCTAATATTATTGTATGCTAATATTTTATAACAATGAGAAAATATATTCATAAAAATGTTGCAAAATTTAAACGAGCAAAACAAAATTGAAATCTCTAGTTCATAAATTATAATGATTATAAATTATAATTCAATTATATTTAAGTTAAGACATTTTTAAAATATTTTATTAATTCACATTTATTTATTATAATAGTATTACATTTATATTGGTTTTTTCGTGTGTGTTTAAAAAGAAATTACAAACAATTAATAATTATGAGAATAGTTATCAAAATTAAGCCTACAGAAAGATATATTTAAAAGCAGAATTGTGAAAAACAAATCCATCCCGGTTTCTCAGTTAGCTGAAAAAAAAGAGGTATATTTGAGGATGATTTTATTTATATTAATCGATAATTAATTGAAAAACCGTTAGAAATGTAAACTTGTGTGATCAGGGCATGTCATTTTGTTTGTATGAACTTCATACATAAAAACTCTAATAGAGCAAAAATGTTCCACCTCAAAATTATGTCTACCATATATATATATATATATAAATAAATGTTTTTGAAAATTCGTTGAAACCTCGTGCGACCGCAAGCACGATATGCGCGCCCAAGGGATTTAATTAAAAGTAACCGCATTTGGCTTTTTAACCCTTCTCTTCTCTCTATGCCGATTTATAATATAAACAGAATTAATGGATTTAATGTGTTTGGTTGTAATGTGTAAGTATTAGGAAAGATGTCCCTGGACGGACCCATACCCGTCCGAGAATTTATGATAAATTTGGTTAATTAACTAATTGTGTTTTATTACATTTTAAAAAAAAGTACCTAGCTGTATTATTATCATACGTATATATGTGAAAATGACCTTATGAAGATTAATAATGAAAAAGGTCTAACTCATTTTATATTCATGAAGTTTTCGTTCACAATTACCACGAACGAATATTTTAGCAAACGTATTGTTTATAATCTAAATAATACGAAGTTATTTATAAAAATATAAATGACATTTTATGTCAATTTACATTTGAATACGGTTACTTTTTTTTATTTTTATTTTTCATTTTTTTGTGGCATTTATTGATTCTTTCCACTGAGAAATATTATTTAAAATTATTCATAGTCAAAATGATAAATCAATGTTTTATTAATAATGTAAAGGGTAAAATAGTAAAGTTACCAGGACATTAGTTATCAATAAATCTTTATTTTCATACGATGCAAAGACAATGATATTACTTATCACGATACCTACCAACACATTGCTTCGTAAATATTAAACATCTACTATTTAAAATATAATTAATTTATCGTTTTGATTAAAATAACTTGCGGAATTTTTAGTCTTTACATTATTCGAGTATCAATGGTTGTCATATTGTAAACATACCTTGAAACAATTAAATACGAATATTTCAAAAACCATGTATATATATATATATTTACATTAATTTTATTATTTTATATCTATTGAGGTTTAATTCAAAAGTATTCTTGTCTCCACTTTTACAATTCTATCTAAATGTGCACAGTCACTAACTCGTTGCATACCACCAATATATTAAAATAGAATTATTTAAAAGCGAAAAAAAAAATCAACGTTTGTATTGTGATTATTCATACAGATTTAATAAAAATAAAAGTTAGTAATACATCGAATACAATAAAATATAAAGTTGTAACAGTTATATATTTTTAATTTTTCTGTAAAAACTTTTATGAGTAGTAAATCTACATATTATATTATATATTTTTGTCATAAAGTAAACACAGTTAATTTTAGTATAGAGGTAATTTTTGATTCCTTTAAAAATGTGTAAACAATATCAAGTTTTGTAAAAAAAAAAATACAATTTATAACGCTTGAAAATGCCAATGAAAGGTTTACACTAAGAAATTTTACTCTATATCAGCAATTTAGAAAATTTTATTGAATATTTTTCATTTTTATTCAAGTTTTAAATATTGAAATACTCCTTAATTGACTATTTTTATGAATATTAATATGAATATTTCATCAGTTACCCGATTGATAGAGGTATTTAGTACATATTTTGCTTCAAATTTCTCTCCCATATGTTTTTGATAGTCAAAATATACAACTACTACTAATCTCATACAAATAAGTTTAACTAACATAACAAAAAACTTAACCATCGAAACCAATATCTTACCCACTGTTTAATTTTTTGTATTTAAAATAAGGCATGCACATTTTGGTGTAGTTTAGTTTCAAGGTGTGTAGATGAGTAATTTCTTTATGACGACAAAAATTAATCGGGTAGACTTTAGGATTTGTTATTAAATAATTCAATGTATTTAAAGATTTCAGCGAACGTTTAACTAATTTCTACGTGTATTATATATTTCAACCAGTTTTATAATACAAAACTTAAAAATAAACTTGTTTACACAATGTATAAATTAATTAAAATAACGATTAATTGAATTTCAATTAATCATTCATAACATAATAATTCATATTCTTTAATTATAAAGTTAATTGTTATCATTATAATTTTATAATCAATATATTTTAGATATTTTAATAATCTAGTACTTTTTATATTATAAATATTTAGACGATAAAAACTATAATTTATTCTTATTTTTATACATTTTTATACGTTTATAATATAAATATAATACATTGACATATCGTACAAAATGTAACGTATGTTTCACACTATGTTTTTCAAATTTTATCAGTGAAATTGTATTAATTTTTTACAAACATTTATAAGGTACCTTTATTATTTATGAATGGTTATGCGGTAATCGTCTTAGTGTAGAAAAATAAATGTGCGCATGCGCCAAATGGACTGGGTGGATCTACTATGGAAAAGGCCGTTGAGAGTGTTGCTTGTCGAATGCTATTCAGTCACGTTGCCGCAATGGTCTCGACTACCCCTGTGCCGATCAAAAAGCCTAATCGAGTACGTAATAAAAATGATTAAAAGAATACAACAAACATGTTTTAATGTACCTATTTATAAACTTCCTCTGTTAACGGGGAAAAAAAAAAAAAATAAAAAACAATAATTGTTCATTAAATAAATACAACCGATATTGCTTTCAGATAAAATATCATTTTAACATCGACTATCACTTACTGATATGTTGTTCACTGGCGATTGCCGTGTACGCGAATACTTTGAACGCCGGATTCGTGTACGACGACAAGTAAGACGACAAAAATATTACTAAATATTTAACGATTTATTACGAATACTTGACAAGAGTAAGACGAAAAACATATTACTAATTATTTAACGATTTATTACGAATATTTTACGCGATTACTTAAACTTACTCATTTCGTGATGTTTGGAAATATGAAAGGAGAAAAAAAATTGTTCATTTTAACAAGTAGAATATTATGATTTTTTTTTATTGAATTTCTTTCAAGTGAAATAAACACGTGTTAATATATGCAAAAAAAAAAAAAAAATAAAATCTTGAAAATATTTTTATTCCACTGAATAGTACCGTTATTTGTGGTAATCAGTTAAGTATTTATACTTGAATTAGAATACTATTCATGTTTAATGTTTGTGATCATAAACATTTTTTTTTCAAATAAATCAAATAGTAAAATTGATAAAGAATATTTTAGTAAAATAATATTTAATTTTCTACTTTTAAAAGTTTTATGAATCTTGGAATAATTTTCATTTTAAATTTAAACAGTTATAAACATTTTTTCCCGGATAACTTTTAGAAAAAATATAAATATTCCAATTTTAATTTTAATTTTAACAATATATATATATTCATATTGATAATAACTTGATCTTCGCAATAATAATTTTATATAAAAAATTGTATTAAAATATTTCTAAAAATTCTTGATTGTTATCGATTCTCGTAATAAAATATTTGTATAAGGTGAAAAATTAATAAAATGGGTATTTAATTAAATACGAGAAAAACTACACAATAATGCGCGTTAAAAATATATTTAAAATGTTTAATATTTTATTTAGTAATAATAATAAAGTATTAATACACAAATTTAAAATAAAACTCTAGGTTAGAGATAAAGCACGAAAGCTAATGGTTTTACACAATAATATATTAATTACAAGTTTTTAATAAATGATTAATTTTAGATTTTATTTAGGACTGTGATATTTTTTTTAAACATATTAATGAAGAATATTATTTTGTCTCGCTATAAATATGTAAATTCTGTAGCTTATCTGAAAATAATAATAATAATAACAGGGATAACGGAAGATTTTTATTTAACGTTGATAACGCAACGATAATAGCAGTATTAAGAATTCAGAAAGTCGCAGCGAAATTTTAATGCGCTTTAAACGGATCCTAAATAAATATTCCTTTGTGTTCAAAGAATATTTTAGCAGACTAGCATTTTCGTACATTTAAGTCATGAAAATATTTCTGGAATTAGTTTTAGGATTTATGGTAAACACCATTGTGTATGGTAATGGGAAAAAAGCAATCGTGTAATTTTCGATTACGTTTTCATTTTTTTTTTCCGTTGTCTTTTTCTCCTTAACTCGTTTTATTTTTACCACTTTTTTATTTAAAAGTTAAGCGCACGTTACCGCATTATAATTTTATTGTAGTCAATGCAGAAATCCCAACCGTATATAGGGGGAATCGTATTCGTCCTCTCGGTCACATATCGCATATGAATTGCCGCATTACACCGATGAAATCGTGTACAAGTTTAAACAAGACAACGGTTGTTTATAAAGCAAATACGTGAATTTTTCAAACGTCGACCTAACATATTATTAATAATAATTGATCCTAATCGTCATTTGAATTTTATATTATTATATTATTCTAAAGTAATATAAAGAAATCATTTTGTGATAATATTGATAAAATTGCCAACATTTATCAACTAATTTGATCACCGTTCAATTGTTCACTCTTTTGTAATTCTCAAGGCTTATTACTGTATAATATACTATAAACGGTTGCATATTATGAGGTCCAGTTGTCTTTTGTATTAATTTTGGTGCATTTAAATAAAAACATTTTCATTATCTTATTATTGTCGTTAAATTGTTCATGTTTATCATACTAACCAAAACCAATCCATTGAATAATTTCCTCACTATAGAAGACCGCAAAAAATATGCATAAGTAACTTCCAGTATCGAGAATATATGCTTAAATATATTTGAAATTAATACGAGGATTTTGTTATGATATTCAAGTCCTCCAATGTTTTAATGTGAAGTAAATTTGTACAACGGTATGATAGCAGCGTATCAGCGTACAGTTGATTTAAACTGCTTGCTTTTCTATTGACATGTCCTGTACATCTTGCACATCATATTGTGCTGTTTACCTTTGAGAATAGAACTTTCGTAGTTTGCAAGATCTTGATCATAGATAGTTGCCACTTTTCAATGGAATTCTGTAGTACATACTGAAATTCGATTGAATTAGGTGAAATACAGCACACAATAAGTATTAATTAAATAAAGTCTGTACCACATATTTCATCAGCAATTTAATAAAAAATAAACAAATAAAGATATTTTCAATTATACCTCTGTACTGTTTAATTTTAGTGCCCAAAAAAGCTAGTGTGTTTGTGTTAATAAGTATTTTCATAATCATTTACTGTCAGAAAATTATTGTTATTACTGATATCTGTAAAATGTATCTACATATAAGTCATAATCGTTTTTATCTTTGATTTTTGTAGAAATAAATACTATAATTTTCATTATGTAAATATTACATATTGGTCGATTTGTCGACTTAACTTCCTAAGATAATTAATTGATTTTTTTATTACCTACCGATTTTTATACATATTGAATGATATTTCAGGGTCATTAGAAATATCAAAACCTACTCAAACAATAAAAAAATAATTCAATAACTGACCGATTGTGAAATTTTTAACTTAATTTATTGCATTTATAACACTTTTTTGTTGATAATTATAGTTAAAAATACGCTAAATTATGACCTGTATACATAACTTTACTATGTTATTGTTAACTATCCTGACCTATGTGTACTTTCTGATTTTCATTAAAAACTGTTTTTCGAATTCGATGATTTAATAAACTAAAATACTTGTATAAAAAAATGCTAACACTTGAAAGTATAATATATTTTTATTGTTTTTATTATTTTATTCACAAATGAATTCAGAATCAATAAAGAATCCGATGAACATAATACACGGTGCATGTTTATAGATGAGTCACTTAATAATATTTATTATTATACAATTATTTGCTTCTATTGTAATAATTTTGGTTTCATATAAATATGCAGAGAGCATTGACTATATAAAGTCGTACTCATGCATAGAATCTACTCGAAAAGAAACTTATAGTGTTATTATATGAATCTAAATCGAGTACACAAATGATAGCTCTTCAGTTTCAAGTACACTAATTAATGAAGAATGCGCTGTGCAATGGTGGACAGCGTAGGCATTTTAAATTTTTTACTAAACAGACGAGAAGTAAAGTACGATTATGTATATATAAATAAACTAATTATATCGAATTAATAATTTATTTATTTCTTTGTTTCTTTGTTTAGAAACATATTTTATTTATATGGTTATTATTTAAATCAGTATAATCCAAGTATGAAAAATAAATATATATTTTTTTTATTTATAGAATTCATTTTGAATAAAAATGAATACTATACTCCGTATTATTGAATTTTAATGTTTACACCGTATTGTTTACTATTCAAAAATGAATTGCTATAATAACATTTATTGTGTATATTTACTTTTTAACAGTTTAATTAATTTTTAGTTGGCTATAAATATATGAGATATAAATAAATACATAATAGTTATATTTAAAAAACAAACAATGGGGGACTGATACATTTTTCAACTACTGTACAAATAAAATATTATAGTAATTATTTAAGTACAAATATTTAAATATTTAAATTTTATTTTTAGTTATTTAGATTATTTAACCTTACATACTAAATGTAATGCGTTAATTTCCACTTGAAAATAATCATAATTGTAAAGAAATATTTTTTTAACTAAGATACGTATCAATTGTATTTTTTATTTTAGTATTGAGTTGTTTATAAATATTTTATATGTTGTGTATTTATATATGAACTTTGTTTAAAAATTTCAAATCGTTTTATCAGTACTTAAAATATTTTTAACTCAAAACTTATAAATAGTTTAGAACTTAACCTTATAGAAATAGGTAACACTAATTTCAAAACGAAATATTTGATTCAAAAATCATGAAATTAAATTTACTTGATTAGTATTTATACTATAAATCATGACCATAAAATCAGTGACCTTATACATTTATTCACTTTGTTGATAAAGGTGGAAATAATTTCTTTCTTAATACCAATCGGATGTTATAAATTATTTGTTTGGCACCGAAAGTATATGCTTATCAAAAAGAAATGTATACAATGAAAATAAATGGGTTTCCCCCAATGAAAATAATATTTTACTCTGCAGCTGGGTCCCCTGTTATTAAACGTCGGAACGTATTAATGACAAATTAATGTAGCCCCCTTTGCCCACCTAGCACAGCTGTCTCGTGTATTTCTTTTTCTTATACTCGCCTGTAGTTAATTGTTTTTTCCTCGTTTATTTAAAACCCTGCAAGGCGTTGAGAATTAATAGTTTGGGTGTAGGGACAAAACTACGGAAGGGTGGTGGTAATGGTGGTAGTTGTTGTGCGGAGGATGGCAGAGGAACGAAACGGAAAGAAATGGAAGAGACGAAAAATAACAGAGGAAAAAAATGTCTGTATTAATTTTAATGAGCTCATAGGATTTACTATTAAGCCTAATGAACAAAACAAGGGAAATGTAAAGGATTATCGAAACTCATTTAGATGTATTTTTTAGAAGTCTACTATTCTCCCTAATAGTGGGTCACCATCGCTCAACCCCTCCCTCGCTACTGCAAAAAATTGCCACCAGTCAACTAGATGAATTCGTATTTCCACCATAAGCTGTTGGTCGAGAGTAATTATAATAATAACAATAACACCATGGACATTAATACAACAATACCGTTGCAGTAACATAGGGACGGAAGACTGAAAAATTGAATTTTTGATAAATCACTTTGGAAGTTATACATATATATATATATATATATATATATATATATATATATATATATATTTAATTCTATGCACAAATTAAATGTTCAGTCATTCTTTCCGACGTCACCGTCACCACTACGGTATCGCGTTCAGCTGTGTATTCAATTGTTTTCATCGAGTTCGTTGCATATTATGAGTACTCGCTGTGCATTAAGTGAATAATTTATGTAAAACACTCGTCATTATATACGTCTTTGGGTAATTTCCATGTACTTTATGTTCTGCGTTTCAAAATACTCGGAATACCTTCAGCTGTTCAGACCACACTTCATTTCGTTTCATTTCGTTACACTAACAACTGTAGTTCGTAATTATTTTTATTTATTTATTATTTTTTTTTTTTTTTTTGTAAAATTACATCACCAAAATATCCCCAAATCACTATTATTCGGCGTAACTCTAATAGTTTGAAGAAAAATATGTCTAATATCGCGTATGTTTCATTAAATCAATGCATATATGCAAATTATTTTCACCATTGAATTATATTATAAGATGATTAAGAAAGTTAGTCACGGAAAAATGATTTTACATTTGGTTTTTCTGAACTGTTATAATAATTTGATATTTTTCACAAGGTTTACTACCCTAAAACGTCAATCTTTGTTTTCCTTTATCCAGTAAATAGCGGTAGGAATTTTCGTTTCCGTGTTGGAAGTGGTTTTTTACTCATTAATGTACCATTAGCAGTTTGCTAACACTATTAAATGTCAACACATCCCAACGATGTGGTTTTCAATATTTTACTGAAACTCACTTTGACAAATGTTTCACTTTAAGACGCATTTCTATTAAAAATGAATTTATTATCATTTTGACCACATGAAAATATAATCTAAAATTAAAATAATTTTATTTTTCATAATGTTAACGGATTGTATATAAATGTATGTATATTTTCAGTTTTTTAGTGAATGAACAAATGTAATAATAAAAATAAATGTATAAATGTATTCGATTACGTAAAAATATATTATCATGTAAATTATTTTATACAAAGTTGTTTGGATTTCGTTGTGTTTAAATACCATTCATTTTTGCTACAACGTTTTTAATTTTATTTCGTTGCTCTTGTTATATAAAAGCATTGAATAATTAATTTACATTTACATTTTATTAAGTTAGTTAATAATTAAGTGGATTGTCTCAAACTTTTTACGATGTTTATTTTAATATTAATTCAGTTGACTCCATGATTAAATAATTGTTTTACTCCATGGCTCCGGTTATAAAGTAAACATTTATATTTTTACTCTCTTTGTGATCAGATGCTTATATTTTAATATGGTTTTATAACATTAAATACTTATAAAAGAAATTCTTACGTTTCGTCAACCCTATGAATGACATTAATTGTAACATTATTATATATTTATAATCAACAGTCGACTAATCATTACATTTTATCATTATCTTTATGGAAGGATAAAATATTTATACTCATAAAACTGTTATATATTACTAAATCATTCATCGTGACTACAGTAGGCTTATTATTGTTTATAAAATACAATGATTTTAAAAATATACCGGTTTTCTTATTTGTTCCATTGACGGAATTCTGTGATAGGCAGTACTATTTTCGAATACTTAAATTAAATGCATGAGAAATACTTTAAAATTACATAAGATTTGGATGACATTTTGCATTGAAAGTTCAGCCTTCCATACATTTAAAAAGAGAAAAGAGGAAGAGGAAGACTAAAAAAGAGATGGTTGGATTGATATTGAGATTGATAAGAGCGCTGCTATTGTGTGTGTGTGTGTAGGGGATGTAGAAAATTGAGTCGAGTGGAGGCTTAAAATAAAGGTGGTTGACCCTAAATAGTTGGGAGAAAGGCGAGAGAGATGAAGAAGAAGCCTTTCGTATATTTAATAAAAAATGTATCGATTTATACAAATAATTGTTCTAATTACACCAAAATACCTACTTCATTATATATAGTTTAGTATATACTTTATTAAACTAAGAGTATAACTAAATGTTAGTAGGCCATGGTGTGAATTCGTATTTATACTCTATTTTATAATTATTTATATTTAATTTCATAGTTGCAGATTATTGTCATTATATTATGCGGTAGGTACAGAAAAGTATTTCTGTATCTAGGACGAAAGTCTGCGGACATGCGAATCATAAAGTACATTTTTGGTGAATTGTTATTGCGTGACGGTTCAAATGTGTTTGGTGAGATATGATTATTGAAAACCATAATGACCTCTAGAACAGAAGATACGGTGCTAATGACAGAGTCCTCATGAACGGCGTGGGCAGAGGAATACAAAGTAAATCGCATTGTATCTCGTTATGAATATCGTCATTTCTTTATGATAATGGTATTCCTGTTTGTTATTCAAGACCAGAGGTTTCCGAACCACGTTATTATTATAAGATTTGTTCGTTCCCAGTGCTGGGAGAAAGAGGAAAAAAAGGAAAAAGGATCGTTAACGAAGGGATTATTTTACTGTGCTCTACTGGCAGTCATTTCTCTTTGAAACTTTATTCCGCCTTTGATGTGAATATAAAAATGTATATAGTACTATATAAATATATATATATATATATATATATATATGTATTATTCTCACAGGTACATAATACTCAGGAAATTATGTTGGCGAGTCGTTGGCCTTCATTCAAAATGTCGTAAAAGCTGCTCTTTTGCGAAACCTTCCTCGTATTAAATCTTTTTCTTGTATTTTAATTTTATTATTATTATTATTATTATTATATACATCTCTTAAACGTATAATAATAATATTTCTAATAAAATACTTCTGTACTAAAGATGTTATCTTGTATATTCAAAACCACGAAAACTCTTTGAAAACTTTCAATGGTAGCCTTCAATAAATATTTAAATGTGTTCATGATAAATAAATAAATAATAATGACAACATAAAAGTATACCTAAAAGATTATAAACCAAGTTTTAAACGAAATTTATATGCTGTTCTTATGCTCGATGATAAAGAGATAACCTACACTCAAAATATAATTTAAATAAACTTATTGTTAACATAATTTCTTATCAACATATAAAAACTGTTATGCAACCATGAGATATCCAACCAGTAATGACTTCTGTAACCATTTTATTTTATACATTACTATTTCTAGCATGTATTTAGCATACTTAAAATATTTTCTACTTATTTAAATATATGCACACATAATTCAAGTTATAAGAAATTTAATTAACTTCAATTTCGAATATTCTTGTATTATTATTTAAATTATTTATTACCTAACTAATTATAAATACATTTGTATAAACTGCTAAATTCAAACTTATAACAATGTTAAATGTCACAAAAAGATATAGCATGAGGGTTACCAATCAAAATTATTTCCTTGATCACTAGTTTTTGAATGAATAAAAATCTGAAAAATTAGTAGTGTATCGCTCCATAATCCTATTAAACAATAAAATATTAGTATATAGTATTTGAGATTTAATAACAATAAGCTGAAATATCTTGATTTAAAAAAAAAAGAAGAAGAAATAAAACGGCTGATTTTTAGAAAAAACATATTACTCATGAGTAATTTATGCATAATCTTAAAACTAGTTTAATATTGTAATAATAATATAAAACATACTGTTTTTTATGATCTGTGATAATATTGTCGTAGTTCATGGTAAGTAAATAACAATTATTTTCTTACAAAAAAGGTATAGGTTTTATGTACATTTTTCATAATAGTTACGGGGATAAATAACATTAGATAAGAAAACTTATATTTTCATCTGACATTATAATTAATTATTCATTTAATGAATCTTGAAAATATTACTTTTAAATTGTACTTGGTTTTTAATTGACATATTTATTTGCAGCCAAGCAATAATAGCAAACGAAGATATTAGACCGTCAACTCCAGGGTCGAACATTTGGTGGAATGACTTTTGGGGAACGCCAATGGGAACGGAGAACTCACATGGATCGTACAGACCAATTACCGTACTGTCATATCGACTAAATTACAGGTAAACAAAATATTTTTAGATATCCTCGGGCGCGATTTATAACATGTTACAATAACGTTAAAACAAATTATTCGTTATTTAGGACCTACAAGCAATATATACATGTTTTTTTTTACCATAATTCTTAATAATTTTAAAAGATATTATAATTTAATTAAATTATCAATGAAATTACGATAACGTATAACGTGACAATTACTATGATATACTCGTTTAACTTCAGTTCGCTATTTTTATTCCGTGAAACGCAGTCCTTTAGACATTGCAATAATCGTAGTTTATAAATTATGGATAGTACAGTTGTTAGAGAAAAAATACAACTAATCAAAAATCGTTCACTCCGTAAACTAATTAGTTTTTCTCGGTCATGAGTCCTGGGAAAAGAAATAGAAAAATGTATTAATATATATGTACGAGTTATGTTATGTTATAAACGAGTAGAATTCTTTTAAAAATGAACTGATTTTGTTGAAAAATAGTGTCGTAAACAAATTATCAGCGTAATAAACAGCTGTATTACTATATGAAAATAAAACTCCAATGATCTTGATCGATATAGAAGATGTATGCATATATGGTTATAATTAAATAGTTTCAGTAGAATTATTGTCGTCAAATCGTACACATACTCATACGCAGTGAAGGCTCGACCATTTTTTTTTAAATCACTATCCCCCCCCCCCCAAAAAAAAAAATAAATAAAATAATTTCATTAATTCAATTTTAATTATATACGTACAATGAGAAGTTTTTTGTTGAGTAATCGAATATTTAATTTTCGTTGTTTAAATAAAATTTACAACCACTAATCAATAGTTCTAAGATGAAAATATATAACCTGCTAGTTTGTGAATTACACCTCGTGAACATTCCTAATACATACGCGATGACTTTAGTCGGTTATCGTTTTTTTGACTCTCAGTAAATACAAATAATATATAATATAAAAATGCAAACACTCCCGAACTCTCTAGTCAATTTTTCACTGCACTCGTTGTTACACTTAGGTGCACACCACTGTGTACGTTCCCCGTGCGTGTTCTCACACTTTACGGTTGTACGCTTGCAGGTGGTCGGGTCTAAGGGCTTCGTCGTATCACGCGACGAACGTGGCGCTCCACGGCCTGGCTACGGGCCTGGTGCTGATCGTCGCCCGGACCGTGTCGTGCCGGCGGGCCGCGCTTATGTCTGCGTCCTTGTTCGCCGTGCACCCGGTGCATGCCGACGCAGTAGCCTCGGTGGTCGGCCGCGCGGACGTGCTGTCCTGCGTGTTCTTCCTGCTGTCGTTCCTGTGCTACGGCCGGCACGTCCGGGCCAGGGATGGCCAACGCCACCGGCATCACCACCATCATCACCACCGGCACCAGCAAGAACTCGGTGGTCACCATCGGCAGCCGGACCACGCGCGTGCCGCGGCCGCGTACCTGGCGTTCTGCGTGCTGTTCGCGCTGCTCTCGATGTTGGCCAAAGAGAACGGCATATCCGTCATGGCCGTGTGCATCGTGTACGAGCTCATGCTGAGGCTTAGGTCCATAAAGAGCAACAAGGTAAGCGCGCGGTTTCATTTGGTACGTTATTATATCCGCATTACCCGTTTATACCATTTGGCTTCTCTACCGACGTGTTTTCGAACATCGATATTGAATATTAAAAAAAGAAAATTTAACGCCAAAATTCCGAATTATTAATGTAGCTCTATCAATCCGGAAATCGACTAATAGCACTGGTTTATGATTAACTGTTATTGATAATTATGAATTAACATATTAATAATAAAATAAAATAAAAAACATTAACAATTTTAACGAATTAAATGAAATTAATGTATTCGTAGTAAAAACGCAATAAACATTTGAACAAATGACTTCAATACAAACACTTAAACTATTTATTTGCGTCACTGGTCAAATTAATTATTTTCTGTTATCATACGTTATTTCTAAACTGATACAATAAAAATTTATTATATTATTATATTGTTGTATACGAAAGCGCTGTAGTATATTCGATTATCGATATACCGTACAATATATTTAGATTATCGATATCAAAATACACGGAAATAAGTGGAGATATTGTTTCGAAATATCGATATTGTTGAAGAAGCTTATTAAATAAGCTATTAATTATTTCCAAGATATGCGTAGAAAATTAAAAAAAAGTTAAATACATCAGTGCGAAGTAAAGAGAAAACGTTACACGATTTGTATGAGCTTTGGGGTGATTGAACTAAAACCCGTGGATAAGATAATAAAGCCATAATTTAATTGGCCTATATTGCAATCATTCAGTGTAATCGTTGAGAACAAATTAATCATGAAGATTACTAAGGCAGTTCTACTAGACATTAATTAGCGAGTTGAGGTCTAATCTCAAGTGGAAAATTATGATGAGTGTATTAAAATACTTCAAAAAATAGAAAAAAACACTTTTACATATTTTTTTTTTTATACTTTTACAGTTCCACAGATTATTAATATGTTTATCATAACATAAGATGTAGGTATTATATTCCATGTAAATTTGTTCTTAATGCTTTTTGTTCTTGGGTTTTCTTGGTTTAATTATTATAGTTATTAATTTAGATTATACTAAATTGCAGAACCTTAAACAAATAGCAGAATTTTTTCTAGAAAAATTATCGATCCATATTTTAACAAAATTATCTTAATATTATATTAAAATACATTAATACAAAAATAATAAATTTTCTTTTCCCTTTCACAAGTATATTTTTGATTAGATTCATAACTTATCATAAATATAAATTTTAAGTAACAGAATTTAGTCAAATATAATCTTCACCAAAGTTTCTAAAGATAAATAAGGAATATCATGAATGTATGATTCGGTTAGTATCGATTGATGAAAAATAATTATCAATTTTCTTATAATAGTGGCTTCACTATATGGGTAAATTATAATATGTATACTTCAGGGATAAAGTAATATAACAATATGTATTAAATTATAATATACAAATAATTAGTATAGTATAGAAAATATGACTGAATACTTGTGTTTTTGGTTATAATGTCTCTATTTATGGATTTAGAACATTATCCGTTTATTCAATGAAAATTATTTTCTATAGTCAATAACCTAATGACGTAAAGACGTTGTTTACCGTAGATAGATTCCAAATTTAATATTGACAAGTTCTAGCAGAGAAACCTTTGAACGGTATAATAGTATACTCTCCCATGACAATGTAAATCATATAAAGTGGAGAGATCGGACTAAATCAACATGGTGTGTGTGTGTGTGTGTGTGTACAGTGTATACTATACATGCTACGTATTGGGATAAAATTATCCGTACAGATAAAATATAATTTTATTCACCGATATTAGGCAAATGTGAAGGGAAATCATGCATTGGAATGGTGTGGTTTGGTTATAATTTAATTTTAAAAAAAAAAAAAAAACCAAATTGGAGTTTCCAACCACATCGTTACAATTTCCCTCCGAATATCGCACACGAATCGCATAAATTAATAACGAGCGTGACGTTCTGTTACATGGAATAAAATCAAATTGTTAAATTATGTTCGCGAATATCACGTTAACGTCAAGTTGTATACATTTACTCTAATGGGGTCGTCGTCGTTTAATATTTTTTTGGATTAAAAATTTCAACCCATTTACGTTGTTTTGTGATCGAAATAATGAACTTAGAATGCACTTGGAAGGGTTTATTTAAATAGGGCTTGTAACGTGTAAGATGTTAGAAGATATAAATATATGCACACAGGTAATTTTTTAAGTATTATTCCCCTTTTTTATGTTTAAAATATATATTTTTATAGATTATAATTTTTGAAAAATATATATTGCACTTGAGTAACATATTGCCTGATACATTACATTTTTGTATCTTTCAAAAAAAATCACTGTAGCACTATCATTTTTTTTCTTCAAACTATTTTTTTTTTTTTTACTCGAAAAGTTATACGATTAACTTTTCTGGAATTTATCAAAAATTCTGACTACTCTTTGAGATATTCCTATTAAAAATGTTATCCTTAATATTTATTCGTGAAATGGAATGATTGTCAGAAATTGTAAAAAAACCGTTGTATTTTTTATTCGTATTCCTTATAGATATACCATCATAATTCAATTAAATATTTGAAAAATGTATATATTTTTATTGTCAAATGTAAAAACTCATTAAGTCGATTAACAAGGCTTTCGATTTTTAATCAATACGAGGGCAAAAAACAATTCGATCAAAATCTATTATTGTCGGGTTTTTTTATTCATCTACACCGTCAAACACTCGGATGGAATATGGAGATTCGATTAGGAACTTTGCCAACGCATATTCGTATTAAACAGATATTTCCTTCGGTTCAAAAACATTGTCGTACACCGGGGGCAATAGAAAAATACACTCGTTCTTAACCTCTCCGGGGACCGTCTCCGTACGTGTAAAAATGTTTTGGAATAAATGTTTCTTAATGTGCTTCTCATTTTATTTTATTTTTTTCATCGCACAATCGAACAGTTGTGTAACGCGATACAACACCCTTTAATATTCGAGTGTAGAACAAACAAGGAGAATCAATAAACAAGTTAAATACAATTTAAAGCCACCTGCTAGTTGTTTGTCGACGCTTTTTAACCATGTAACGTATTTTAAACGAGTTACTAAGCGTATTTATTCTAAAATCAGCGTCATCTCGTCCATCTCTATGTCTTTTTATATTAAAAACAGATGAACAAGTGAAATGCGTAGTAATGGTAATGAGATCGTTTCCCCAGCGCCACATTCGTTGACCCTTTATACAAATTACGATTCTACAGGATTTCAATAATGAGAATTGCACTCGAAGACTGATGCTTTTTGAGTTCGAAACATGATTACTATGGATGGTACGTTGCGGGTTTTTTTTTTTTTTTTTTAATTGATGATGGTAGATGGTAGATATTATAGCAATTATTATTTAATAAATAATTCATGGCGATATCCGGCATGCTCCAATTTCGAATTTTGACGGAAAATAAAATACATATTGATATCGTTGAATTAAACTTTGAAACTCACTGTTTGCCCGTAACATAAAAATTCGCTGCACGTGTTATTTAGAAGTTGGTCAAACGTGAAAATTGTTTATTTTTTCCTTCCTATTTCTATTATTTGTCTTGTTCCATCTGTTCGTTTGTTTTACTGGATTTAGCCGATGGCTACAAGAAGTGGGGATAGCTTCGTAATGGAGTCTGTTATTGACAGATAACTTTCCCGATTGAAAGTTGAGTGTCCCGGACGTTCGTTTTTGTTTCCCAACACATGTCAGCTAAGTACGCTCCTATCCACCCCTCCGTGCGTTTCGACTGGAATGAAAATATTTCTTAAAGAGTTTTTCTCTGTAATTTATATTTTTCATCGAAACTGTGTACACGCACAATCACGTATATGTGTAAGTGTGTGAAACAGAGTGTACGTGTTAAGTTTAAACTGTGATCTTACGATAGTATTGTGAAGACGCAGCGTTTTGTTCAAATAATATTCATTACTAACCCAATAGTTCTATATGAATATAATCATTGTAAATGTTATCGTATGCGCAAGTCATAAATTACTTTCAATATGGAATGTTGACTGTTATGCATTATTTTTTAACAATAAAAGATGAAGAAATACAAGAAAAAGTGATTAAATTCTTAATGTAGTAAAATTAAAATGATTAAATATTCTATTCTCACGTTATTGTAAAATGTATTGAAACATTAAATACTAACATTATCAAAATACATATAGTTATATTTTCTACATTTAATAGGTAACAATTAGAATTATATATTATAAATCACACAATTTGCCTTTAATTATGTGTATTCAAGTGAAATATATTTCTATATTTTGTTCAAAATTATAAACTACAAGCTGTTGATAAATCAAAGAGTTTGAAATAAAAAATTTTATAAAAATACAAAATTTTAAAAAATATTCAAATATAACTTCTTTATTAAATATTATAAATATTTTATTTTTCTTATTATAGTAGAACCATAATACACCATAATGTATTATCTGCCCATATTAAAAATGTAAAATAGTTGATGAATACATTTATATAGATATTATTGTTTTATTTGTTATGTATAATCAGCATAATTTTGAACATTTTAAAAATAAGTTATTATAATTTTAACATTATAATTTTGTAAATTTAAAAGTAATGATACAATATTACATTTGAATTTTTTACTGTGCATGATTTTTAGAAAATTATCCACTAAGTTGATTTGTCTAAAAATTAAATTTCTAAATTTTAAAAATATTTTAAGTTTTCTCATAGTATTTAATTTAATTTATTGTTTATCACATTTTCTAAATAGTTCATAGTTAACTAAATTGCTATCGTTCATAATATTGGAACATGAGTTTTTTATTTTAGTCCCACCCAAACAATAAGATTTCACGGGAATTTCTTTTTAGATAGAAGTCCATTGAAAGTGAACAAGAAAAGTGATCTTTGGAATAGCATTCGATGTTACTTGAGGATTTCAGTACTCGACTGTCAATGTAAAATGATTTGGGA